TAGTTATTTTCACAAATAAACAAATATTAAATTCAAAATGGCGGCAACAAAAAATATGGCGGCCTCCGATGTCCGTTTTGTTGATACTAAGATAAATTCAAAATTTTAACACCAACTGGTATTTATATTTTTAATTTAAGTTTAAAATTACACAATTAGGTTTATTTGCATTTAAAATAAATTAATTATGAATTATTTATTTATTTTTTTCGATCACGTGACGTTTTTGAGTTCTATGATTGGTCAATAACAGAGCGCGGATTTTTCCATGGACGATTTGAATGTTTGGATGTTGAAAGTGTTGATAGAAAAAAAGGAGATAAAACCAGTTGGTAAGGCGATATTTATGCTAACATTTTATTGATTTTGGTAAAGTATACTTAGTACCTCTGGAATAACATTCCAAAAAGAAGAAATATTGGGAATGAACAAAATTCTAGGCGTGTGAATCTTAGATTTCTTGTTTGTTTTGATTGGTATGTCGAATGACAAAGACTGAAGTAAACAAATTGAAAGTATTTGAAACGCATAATATTTTTCAGCATGTAGTATATTAATCAAATATGTTGTTCTTTGTCATATTTATTCCCACAATTGTTTATAGATTCCCTGAACTGTTAAAATATTGTGAAGCCTTATACGCATCAGCATGATCATAACATGATCTAGCTGCAACGTTAATTAATGCAATGAAATGAGTAATTTAACATTAATTTTCTTTTTTTTTTATAAAGCAGAATATTGGTACATGATGTTTCCATGAGCTGAATCTGTCCTGACCTGGAGTACATGAAATTCTTCAAAATATTACTTGTTTAAGGTAAAGTAAATTTTTTTTTTCATTTCAAAATTCAATAAATCTTTCAATCTAAAACTGATTCCTGTAAGTATAGATCTTAAATTAGTCTTGTATTTTCCATGTTTTGGATGAATTAATGAATTTGAATTAATTGATATGGAAGAGTGTTTTCAATTTGATATGCAAATGAGTGCTGGAAATATACTATCTAAATATCTATAATCTAAATTTTGAACCTTTACAATTTTTTGCAGAATTGAAGAAAAGGTTAAAATTGCAAGCATATTTCAACGAAAACTTAGCCGACTACAAGTCACACTGCCCGCCAGCCAAGACGTCTGACCAGCTAAAATGAGGGACGCAGACCACCAGCCAAGTCCCTCGGCCAGCTCGGCTGACCCAGTGCGGCCTGTCAAGGGATGACCAAGTCCATCAACTAGCTCGGCTGACTACCAGTGCAGCCTGTCAAGTCCTTCAACTAACTTGGCCTATTACCAGTGCGGCCTGTCATTGAACAACCAAGTCCATCAACTAGATTGGCTTACTACCAGAGCGGCTTTTCAAGAGATGGTCAAGTCCGTCAACTAACTTAACCTACTACCAGTGCCGCATGTCAAGAGATGGCCAAGTTCGTCAACTAGCTCGGCTTACTACCAGTACGGCCTGTCAATATAGGGACGGTTAAGACCGTTGACTAACTTGGCCTTCTACCAGTGCGGCTTGTCAAGGGACGGTTAAGTCCGTCAACTAACTTGACCAACTACAGATGCGACCTGTCAAGGGATGGCCAAGTCCGTCAACTATCTTGACCAACTACCAGTGCGGCCTGTCAAACGATGGCCAAGTCCTTCAACTAACTTGGCCTACTACCAGTGTGGCCTGTCAAACGATGGCTAAGTCTGTCAGCTAACTTGGTCTACTACCAGTGCGGCCTGTGAAACGATGGCCAAGTCCTTCAACTAACTTGGTCTACTACCAGTGCGGCCTGTCAAACAATGGCTAAGTCTGTCAGCTAACTTGGTCTACTACCAGTGCGGCCTGTCAAACGATGGCTAAGTCTGTCAGCTAACTCAGCCAACTTTCAGTGCAGCTATCTTCAAATAATAAAGATAAACAACTGTACACCTGCAAGGATACCTGTGCAAGGAGGGTGGTATGCAGCTAAAAACTGTAACTGAAATCACTGTTTAGAACCTTTCTTTTTTTTTGAAATACAGCTAGATCAAAAATAAATAGGGTGTTAACATTTAAAAAGAGTAGAATGCAGTTTGCTAGGTAATTTTACAAAGACCCTAATTGCTATATGCTAAAAATGTATTCTTTAAAACAACCAGAGAAATTTCAATCTGTTGTAGATGACATGATGAAAAATAAGGTACACTTGAATTTGAAAACAATTGCATGTGCATTCATTTAGTTGTATTTGACAATAAACCAAGCTATCTTTATCGTGTTTGTTAGGTAAAATTGTTATTGCCTTTAATATGTTTTAAATAATCTTTTTTGTATAAATTTCAAAAATCTTCTTCTTTTTTTTAATTTTAATGAGTAGCTTTTTAAAAGCTTATAACTTAGTAAATCCACAACAGGTTAACATACAGTGTATAATTTCACTGGAACTTTTACGAAAGTTTTTATTAATAGGTATAACTTTTCATAGTTATAACTTTTTGCAGTTATAACTTTTTTTAGGTATAACTTTTCTATAACTTTATAATAGGTATAACTTTTTTTAGTTATAAATTTTTAATGGGTATAACTTTTTTGTAACTTTTTCATAACTTTATAATAGGTATAACTTTTTTTAGTTATAACTTTTCCTGGGTATAACTTTTTCCGGGTATAACTTTTTTGTAACTTTTTCATAACTTTTTTTGGGTATAACTTTTTTGTAACTTTTCCACTGTTTATTTGGGTATAACTAAAGTATAACTTTGTAACTATTTTATAACTTTTTGTGTAACTTTTAATAAGTATAACTTTTTGTAGTTATAACTTTTTTATAACTTTTATGTACTTGCTGTATTTATGTTGAATAAAAGGTGAAAAGTTATGCAAAAGTTATAACTTTTTTGTAACTAAGTTATAACTAAATTATACCTCACTTAAAACATGCCATTCCAAACTCCGATAACTTAGTTATAACTTTTTTGTAACTTTTTTTAGTTACAAAAGTTATAACTAAGTTATAACTTTTTTCGGTATGGGTACACTCTACAGTGATAGAAAAGGTAAGTAGAGGGGATATTTTATTCCTTTTTTGGTTTGAATTGCAGTTTCAGATATTTACAAGCGTAAATTTATTTTACATTGATATATTGTGAGACTGCTTGTTCATAAATGAAATTTGTTGTAGGAGAAGCTATTAATTTGTTTAAAAGAGAATCATTAGTATACCTGGTACTAGACAACACAGAGGATCCAGCAATAGTAGTAAAGGAGGCCACAAACTGCACAGTTATTTTTCAACTACTTTAAAGCACTACCTTCCACCTGTGTGTCCATTGCTGAAGTACTGAAAATCTTCTGGATGATAAACACCCTTATATTTCTGCTTTTTATGAACAATATTCAACCTTCATTTCAATTCTGTGAAAATATTCACTGAGACCTTCGAACTTTGGGGGAAAATATTCTGCCCAAGAGGTTTATAACATACAGTGTTGTGAATTGGACATTTAAATTATGTATGATTCCTACTTGAATCACTATGAATTGAAATAAATAGGTTTTTAAAAAATAAAATATTATCGCTCGCTTCTTTTCATTTTAAACCGCTCCTTCATTTTTAATTTTCAAATTTATAATTTTAAAATTTTCAAATCGCTCGCTCGCCCCAATTTTTTCTGTCAAAAATCCGAAGACCAAGAAATTAAATTGGTGTGGCCTAGGAAATATCTTTAAAAATCCTTCTGAAGATCCACTGGGCCAGGAAAGATGAAACTCATGTGGAATCATCCTCAGGTAGTGTAGATTCAAGTTTGTTCAAATCATGACCCCCGTGGCTAGGGTGGGGCCAAAATGGCCAACCCAAGTTTTACATAGGGATATATAGGGAAACCTTTTAAAATCTTCTTTTCAAGTACTTCAAAGCTATGTTTAGTGATATTTATATGGAATCATCCTCAGTTAGTGTAGATTCTAGTTTGTTCAAATGATGAATGCCTGGAGGGGGGGGGGGAGTAAATTCAAGCCCGATGTGCTCAGGTGAGCGATGTGGCCCCTCGGCCTCTTGTTTACTGAATTGGATCATTTTGTGGACCAGGTTAATTGATCAACAGTAACCAAGAACACCCATATTGTGTATGTTAGTGTAAAGGATGTATATGCTACGATATTTTTGTGTTTTAGGGTGCAGTATCTTTTGTTCATCTAATTTTAATTAAAAGTGTAATGCAACCACAACAATTCAATTCTGTAATAAAAATTAGATACATGTGTGTAACTGTTTGAAGTACTGTACATGTATTATTCGTTTGTACATTAAGTCAGTGAATTGAGTTAATTGACATAGTTTTCATTGCGAGATGAAGGATGAGTCCGTTCACAACTTTTCAAATGAAAATTACGTTTGAAGTATCAAAATGCAGTGTTTATGGTATAAAGATTGTTTGTATAGAAAAACAAAGCAATCATTATAACATAATCAGAATGAAATCATCTTTCAAAATCATTACAGTAATGAATAAAAAGTACACATATACATGTAGCCAAATTCATTCCCTTTATGTTTGAGATAAAAATCGCAACACAATTAAAATTGTTATATGTAGTTTGCCTTTATCATGTGTTTATGAATTGCTGTAAAATAAATTCAGGATTAGTTTCGATTCAAAGCATACATGGGAAATACAATTAAATGGGTGACAAAGTAGATTATTTCACCATTCCTTTATAACTGTAGTGGCATGTCATCTAATTTATAATTAATTCATTATAAAAGTTAAAAGTAATAAGAAAACATTGACTATTTTCTCGGACAAAAACGTTTTATTGACCACTCAAACCAAACTGTTTCCTTTCAAGAAAATTGCCTAGCTTTGTCAAACAGTTTGGTTCGTGGGTCTGACAAAAATGCATGTTGCCTTTGAAACCTGTCAATAAAAGTATTTTCTTTACCTTTGTATTTTATTTATCTGGTAGAGAAAGATGACTCAGGTGAGTGATGTAGCCCATTGACCTTTTGTTATATATTTTGCAGTGGCATGGATCTATACTGTTGGAGTGGGCATGATAAAACAACAATATCAAACCAGTCGTGTACCATTGAAAATAATATGACAACAACTGCCCCAGACAAAACTCAACAAGAAGATGGTGATCAGACTGTGTCCTTCTGCTACGAGATTTTTTACCATGACAATAATTCCACATTAAACTTTGTTTCTGATCCAGTTTCTGCAAGAACAGCTCACGCTAATGCCTCGTGTGATTTCCTTGGACTCTGTAATGATAGTATTGTTGGAACATATGTAAAGGTTTGGAAATTACTACTTCGCTTTTATTGTGAAAATTCACTGAATTTTTTTTTAAAGTAATTTAAGGGACCCTGACCCTCAGACAGGAAGGAAACTCTTTAATTTATAATTTAATTCAAAAAATCTTTAAATGAAGCTTGAAAATTAAATATTTTCATGCAACAATTTTCATTATATGCCTCTCAATATGCTTCAAGGTTCTTTGCAAAGCTCCATAAATCACTTCTGATTTCATATCATGTTAATAAACATTGGTATATAAAATGCTTTTTCGGGATAAAAAATTCTACTTTTAATTAGACCTTTCTGAGAAGTTCAAAGAACCTTGAAGCCCTTTTCAATAACAAACTAATTTATGCTTTTTTCCTAGCCACATTGCTCAGGTGAACGATGTGGCTCATGGGCCTCTTGTTTTATATATCTCTGAGTCAACCTTTTTGAACAATATGGTTTCAGCATTGAAAGTCCGACATTAGCTCTTAAATAATGTATATGATTTTTTTTTTTTGTATTTTTTCAAAGAAAATTCAAATAATTATTTACATAAAACACAAATTAGTAAATGTTTTTTTAAAATCAATAAAAAATTTGCTGTTAAATGAATGCATCACAGGTTAGGTCCAAATACTTAAAAAATAAATTTCTCTAAAACAATTTAGTTTTAATTTCTTTTAAAATAATAAAAGAGTTGTGTAAAGAAAAGCTGAGTATAGTAAATATTACTTTTTTTTTTATAAAAAATATATTTATGAAAATATTAAAACACATAATTAATTTTGTGAATATTTTTGTAAACCTGTGGTTAAAATCTTCTTAAAATCAGTCACAACTTGGGTGAACATGTTCATTAATGTATTATTTTGATGACCCCCAGGGGAAGGGCGGGGCCACAATGGGGTATCAAATTTTTACATAGAAATATATAGGAAAAATCTTTAATTTTGAACCATCAGAAAAGCTGAAACTTATGTGGAAGCATCCTGGGGTAGTAAATTCTAAATTGTTCAAATAATCCAAATACAAAGTTTTATATAGAAATATATAAAAAATAAATTTCTCTAAAATTTCTCAATTTAGTTTTAATTTCTTTTAAAATATGATTGACAAACATGTTGTCCTTAGTTGTGACTAGTTTGATGGTGTTTTTAAACATAGGTTTAAAAAATATTCACAAATAATGTGTTTTATATTCATAAATAATTTTTTATAAAAATATTAAAAAGTCTAACCAGCCTTTCTTTACATATTTTATAAGATATTCATATGATGCATTCATTTACAGCAAACTTTTAACTCAAAAACAACTTAATATTTGGATATAAATAATTTTTTTCATTTTCTTTGAAAAAATACAAAAGAATGACCGGTATTATAAAATAATCAAGAGCTTAAATATCTGCTTTTCAATGCTGAAACGATTGTTTAAAAAGGATGACTCATAGATCTATGAAATAAAAAGTTGGTGTGGCATTCCACCTTAAGGCGTACTATGAAGAAATCAATGGAATATGGACATGCAAAAAAAGGAGAACTTTTTAAAACTTAATTTATTTTTATAAAGCTGTTTGATTATCACATAAATTAAATAATTTTTGAAATAACATAGTATATAAACCCAAATCTGTACTGAATTAAGTTTGGTCCCATCTATGGACAGTGATAAATGCACAGTATGTGTACTAAATGGAAGTCAAGCCCCTATCAGTATTTGGATGTTACTGGGAACATTAAGGTGAGTGACATCCAAATAGGAAATGGAGAGAACTTGTGTCAGAAGAATTGTATTAAAAGTATACTGGCTATAATGATACATTATTTCTATTGAACACTCTTCATATTTTGTTTTAAATTATCAGTGTTTACATTAAAGAATAGCTAGTCACTAACCATTAAGAGGTTCTCGACTGCATCAATTCTGTCAAGTACTTTTAAACAAATGATCCTACCACCTACAGATGTTCTATACATTTTCCATATGGCTATCATTTGATTTGTAGCATGGATGGACATAAAATTCAAGTGAAAGAATCAAACTTGAGAACAGCATTGCTATTCAAACATCTTTTTTTTTTGTAGACCACACTAAATGACATTGACGTAATCCTCCTATGCTGTAAGGAAGACAACTGTAATCATAACCATGATAACAAAGATTTTCCTCCAGTGGTAAAGATAAAGCCAGTTTGTTATAATCTCCAGTCCAATGGAACGATGGCTGTTGGTACGTTAATTTTAAAATTTAAATCATGAAGGCCGGGTTTAATCCTGATTTCCAAATTTTACCTTGCAACTTGGTGTAAATTTTAAACTTTTGACAGCTGATCATGTAATTATCATTTTTGAAACTCAATCTCTACAAAAGATAACTTTTGGTTATTGCTCTATAGATTAATTAACTTAATAATTGGATAAGACGTGTGTATTTCTATGATTCAGTTATGAAAATCATTGTAATTTATCTATTTATTTTATTCATCTATTTATGTAATCAATATTCATATAAGCATTAATTTTAATAGATATTGTGTTTGCTAATAATGAAGAAAGTCTTTGCTTCCAATTGCTTTATTTGAATTCTTTTATTTTTTAGTTTAAAATATATATAAAATTTAATCATTTATTAGGGTGTGCATATATATGAATTATTGCACAAGAAAGAGCTCAGAAGGTGCTAATTAAAAATAAATTTACCATTGAAATAAGTATTTCTACAGTAGTTTTATAATTTTATTACATAAAAAAGATATTAATTTTTAAATGTAAACTATGTGCAACTTGTGTACAGAAACAGGTGTATAATAATTTTTTTTTTTAGAATTTTCACCCCAACTTTTAATTTCAACAGGCATCATGTATTTGGATTTATTCCATTTATTTTGAACAGAATATCACAAGAAAACCTGTTCTGAATTAGATGACTTGTGTATGAGCATCACAACAGTGAACAAAGAAGGAGCCATTTTGAAACAAAAGTTACAGTGTGGAAGTAAACAACAGTGTTTAGCAAAAAATGAAACAGCTAAATATAATCAAACACCACTCTGTCATACACAAGAGGTATGGATTTATCCGCCCCTCCACCCCCTTTAAAGTACTCTAAGAAAAAATCTTCCAGTACATGCTTTTTAGCTCACCTTAGTGAAATTAGGGGAGCTGATGTAAATGTAATACCCTCAGCATTATAAGCATGCATCGATCGTTAGATTAAGTTTTCGGCACAGATTTCTTTTCAAGTGCCTGTACTTCTATGCCCAGATCAGAGATTCATTGATGAGCTAGCTCATACATTGTTTCATTGTATAAGTCTTAATTAGTCCAGCTAGGCTTCAGATGCTGCATTTTCAGCCAAAGACTGACCAGTTTAATGTTTTTAGAGCATTAAAAGTATTTGGAGCAGGTTTCATCTTCAAGTAACTTAAAGCCCTATGCAGATAATTTAATTTTGGTTGTAACACATATCATTTGATTGGATAAAAAACTAATCAAAATTGTATATAACTATCTGCCAGGGTTTCCTTCATCACAATGACTTCCCACTTTTGTCCTTCATTGAATTTGCCATATGGTTTTGAAAGTTTTTGTAAAATGCATTTTTTTTACTATGTCTTAAAATGATCTATCTTTTCAGGATGAAGGGGAACACACAGAAGTTTGTTGTTGCTCAGGAGATTTGTGCATTCCTCTTCCTGTGAATGTCACCATCATTCCCTCTAAAGACAACAATGACACTGACACAGCACTAGATAAAGTCATTCATAACAAAGTCCTAGTCCAGAGTAAGAAGGGCACTGATTGGTTGTTTGTGGGAGGACTAATTGCAGCAGGTGTCCTGGTTCTTATCGTCACGGTGACTGTCTTTGTTGTCTGGCAGGTGAAGAAGAGAAGACAAGCTGCAGCTCGTAATCGTATGCTGTTTTCCTACATGCCAATTTCAGCCTCTGAAGTGGACGATGATGACGTTCAAATGTTACTTTAATAAGATCCTTTTTTTTTAATTCACAAATACTGGCTAGGCTGGTACCTGCTGGATGAAAAATCAATATTACCAAATAGGAAAATATTGAAATTGTCTCTTATTTGTTAGATATTGTTCAAAAAAGATGCAGGCCGCAAAGCTGAAATTTTTTAAGCACAGCTATGTGAAAGTGCATTCATTCCCAATTTATTGTGATATGTGTATTTGTGTATTTTGTGCAACATGTGTAATTATAATGTCACCTGCTTTGAGCTGCACATGATTTGTTGTAGAATGATTTTTTTTTTTCGTATGCTTAAATGGGAACGTGTTACATAATCAGCAGAGGAAGTTATATTTCTGTTGAACTTCTAGGTATAATTTTTTGATTTAGTTGACCCCAATTTTTTAATTGTTTTTTAATGAAATGATTTCAAGGTAGACAAGCATGTCCTTGAGTATTGGTGCACTGGTATTTACCACCAGTAAAATGTCTTGATTCTGATGTTGTTATCATGGATACTGTGTGTAAATTCTCTTTTTCTGTTATTATTGAAATGGACTCAAGAGAAGTTTGAGCAATATTTATGAACTGACATCCTTTGTTTACTGAATCTCAGTTGCAGAGTTTTGTGTGTATACCATAATAGTTTGAAGGAATTGTCATTATAATAATTGTTGTTTTGTTTTTGGTATTACACATAGAGGTACATGTACTATAACATTTGATCTCATTTGTTAGAATAGTTTGTATTTTTCTTTGCTGGTGAAATACTGTTTGTGTGAAGCTGAGCAAATGTAAAGCAATTGATAAGGGAAGGTGTAAATATTTTCAGCAATTTTTATTTAAATGATAGGGAATTTTACATAAAATGTATGTTACAAGGAAAAAATATGTACTCATTGCCTGACTTAAAATACCCAGTACATGTACAGTTGAGCTTAGGTATCTCAGACACTGTTATCTCAAATTCCATGCCTTTGGGTGTAATGTTCAAGTGATTTAGAAATCTCAACCCCCTATTATATAGGTATATAAATAAACCTGGAGATCTCAAATTTTTGAATATCTCAAAGTTTTTTTTAGTCCCATTGAGTTCAAGATAACAAGATTTGACTGTGTTTAGTATCAAGTCTACAAAATCTAAATGTTCGCGAAAATTTATGTATTTCTATGCATTATTTTATAAGCTCACCTAGGGCAAAAGCTCTTGTGAGCTTTGCTGATCAAAGTTTTTCTGTTATCCTTCTAGCCAGCTGTCAGTTTTGAGGGTTTTTTCTTTTTTTATGATTTTAGACTACTTCAGGACCACTAGGCCAAGCTTGCTACAAAGCATACTTCAAAGAAGGGAAACAATTAAGTTTCTTCAAATGAAGGCCCATAATTGGCATTCTAAGATTTACATAGTTTTACAAAGGGATAATTTGTCAAAAAATGAAAAAGTACTTCTTGTCTTAAGAACACAAAGCCTTGTTAGTCATATAAAATTATATCCCCAGTTAAGGCAGATTCAAGTTTATTCAAATATTAATTATTCATTAGGGTAGGATAGGGCCGCAATATGTTATTGAAGTTTAATTTTCATAGGCATATATGAGGGGGATTCTGCTGATGAAGAGCAGCAGGTCATAAGTGACTCAGGTGAGCATTTGGCTCATGAGCCTCTTGTTTCACTTTCATTTTTAGCTCACCTGAGCAGAAGGCTCTTCTCAAGAACAGAAATACTATGTTTAGTCCTATTGAGATGTAAGCATCCTCATGCATGTCATGAAAATTCAATTTTTTTAAAAATCATGTTCTTGGGGGGGGGGGGGGGGGGGGGGGCCACAATAAGGGATCAAATTTTTACAAGGTAATATATAGAAAGTAAATCTTTAAAAAATCTTCTTTTCAAGAACAGCCAAGTTATATGCTATACTGCTATGGAGACATCTTCAAGTAGTATAAAATTCAAGCCTACCCCCACCACCACCACCACAGCAAATAAACTTTTCAATACTGAATTGATTTGTGCTTTTTCCTAATTGATGTGTTCAAGTGAGTGATGTACGTGGCCCATTAGCTCTTGTTTTAATTTCTTTGTGATAAATCATTAAGTTTTGTGCCATAATAATTGTAGAAATGTGTGGATTTTAATTAGGTGTTTTGGGTGCAGTTAAAATGTTAATTTGCAAGTGAGTAGGTCCAGATTTGTTGTAAGTGCCGGTTAATAGTAGTGCAGGTTATGAACACATGCTAAACAATTTGTTTAAGAAAGTTACTGTCCATACTGCATGTTCAGAAACTTTTAACTACTGTAGATTTGCAAATAACCACGAAGGTTTTTATATCGATCGTTATGTTCACAAGTTATTATTTTTCTGTGAAATTAAACCTATCGTGATATTATGAAAACTTTTTAAAAGCATTTTAAAGTTAATATGAAATTTTGAATTTATTTCTTGCAGCGTGAAATTAAAACCATCGCAATCGGTACTTGTTCAGAAATCGAGAAAATGAAATATTAACATCGTGGAATTAAAACTACTTACAGTATATACTAGCTGCTGTATAGGCTTGTTGTCATAAAAACATTTCATACAATCATGTATGTACAATGCAAAATGTTATAAAGATTAGCATGCATTAATCATTATAATGTGTGATGTTGGTAATCACTCCTCGTTTAAGAATCAGATAACTTTTAACAATGGAAAAACTTGTAACACAAAACATTTCAAAATCAGCACAGAAGTACGCAATTTACCGGTAATATATAAAATATGAGCATTGTTGTTGCCCTGTGAAAATCTTTGTTCATGAATTTTAATAATGCTACTGTGTGTTATATTTCAAATTGTTATACAAAATCCAAAATCATTTGAATAATGCACAAATTTTTCATAATTATTATTCATAATTATTGTAGTTATTTTCTGCAAGTAAATTTATGAGTATACATTAAGATTACCACAAAAATTTTTTTTTATTCATTTCTTGGTTTATATATAGCTTTGTTTGTAATTGTTGTTGACTTGATTATTAAATTCTGAGTTAATTTGACTTTTTTCTTTTTTTCAATTGCGATCTGCATGCAGTTTTATTACCTGATCTGATCTGTTTTGTACAATCAGTAATGAATTGCAAAATGAGAATATTTCAAGTCTGCAAATTATGACTTGCTGCAGAACTGTAGCATTATGGTTTTTATATTAGTAGTTGTCCATAACGCTACAGATCCAGTAATGCAAAAATTGTGCAGTTTACGGCGCAAGATTTTTTGCACACTTTTGGGGAGAATTTCTCCACTTTCCAGCATTGGTAAATCAACTACCTTTCATTCCTTAATTCTAGACATATTTCATAACTATCTGTATATTTCATCCACAGGCACCTGACGTTACCTATTTTTCTTTTAATAAAAATAAATATACACATACCTAGTAATAAACAGGTATGTGTATAATTTTTTTTTATTAAAAGAAAAATAGGTAACGTCAGGTGCCTGTGATTTCATCCACCTTACAACCCTTTATAGTCATCTCTACAGGCGATAAATTAGCTTAATTTGAATTGTCTGTAGGGTACCATTTTTGCATTTCTGGATCTGTAGAGTTATGGTCAAAAACTAATGTATAAAACCATAATGCTACAGATTTGGTAATGCAAACTCTGCAGCTAATCTTAGACAGATACATGTACAGGAGGAAAAGGGAAAAAAGGTCTCTCTAGCATTTTCTTTTACACCTTTTATCTTATAACAAATTGAAATTCAAACAATTTTGTTGATTTAACTGACCTTTGGAAAATCTATTTTCTAGTATATAGATCTGCTCTCCTCTTACCTTGTTGACCTTGAATTTTTCAAAATGGCCTTGATTCAGAACTTGAAACACCCTCAGGTTGTAAGCAATCAATTAGTGAATGAAATATAGAATTTCATTGGGTTTTTCTTTAAGTTACAGAGTGTTATAATGGATTTGAATTTCTACCAATGATTTTTTAATTATAACTTTCTTGGATACATCTTGGCCAATTAGATTATATGGCACATCTTCAGATTATAATTAATACAAAGTTATTGTATCAGATACAAGTGTTCAGTAGTGTTCCTCTTTTACAATCTTGTTGATCTATTATGACCTTGACCCTCGCCCTATACTGACCTAGGCCAAAGTCATTTCATTGAAACAGGTGGTACTGCTTTTTTTTTGGTTATAATAAGAGCCTTCAACATTCCTGAAAAGTTTGAAGATAATTAGACCTAAGATGCCATCACGAGATGCAACATGTATCTAAAAACAGCTATATCCTCAATCTTAGTTTACAACTTTACGCTTTGGTTGGAACACTGGCAAGTGGTGGCATCTAAATGAAATTAAAAAATAATTTAATCACTTTTTAAAAGTATTTTTTTAAATAATCTGATTTTTTTAAAAAAAATGTATTTCCTTTCTTTCTTTCATTCATTTATATTTTCCTCCTTTGTTTTTTTTTTTGGGGGGGGGGGGGTTACATCTGGTAAATTCTCGATTTTCTTCACTGTTAAACAAATCTTAAAGAACAATCTCCTTTATTCATTTATTTATTCATGTTCATGAATTTGATTCATTGCACAATCTGCACAATGTGCGATGCAATATTAAAATACTAAGATGCATGGACCGTGCCGAAACATTCTGGTGTTGAAATGACTTGCACCGACTCAAAATGGCGTTTGTGTTCAGACAGGGAACTTTCACTTTGCTTAAAGTTAAACTAAACTTAAGGGTCTCATTTCTTACTAAGCACGGCTTACATATCTGTAAAGATGATTTACAAAATACTTCCTTTAGAAATAATCTGAAAAATTATATCACTGATCATAAATACAGTTTAACAGCGGTAAGAATTTATGGAAACCACGACTTGGAGGAGGTGGTATCAGAAACATTCAGTGAATCTACCTTCTGGAGATTTGGTTTGTACAGAATAAAGGAAAATGTTAACTCTGAATGCACTAAAGAACCTGTTAAACATCTTGGGACACGATCTTCAACAATTTTTGCAAGAGGATATAATGCAGTTGAACGTTTCTTGCAAACCAAGGGGAAGCTGGAAAATTCACACGAGGATGCTGCTCTCAGGGCACTAAAGAAATTTTATGTGAACAAAGGTGAAGAAATTAAAGGTTTTCATGTGAACCCTTAAAAGATTTTTTAAATAATGATATGATGCAAATGCCATCAGTGTTTGCCATCCAGCAATCGTACTCAGGTATTTGGGTATACGTGAGTATTATGATAAAGGGCTTTATTAAAAGCATACTGTGCCTATTTTGTTTAAAAAAGTATATACACTGAAATATCTTTTATATTCGAGATATGGGTGTTAAAATTGAGATGCCAAAGTTTAACTGTATGTTTTCTCATTTTCAGAGGAACATGAAAAAAGTTGGGTGAAGTTAAAAGACGTGTCATCAGAAGGGCAGGTAACTGCAGTCATTACACAGCATCTTCTCTCCCAGTTACTTCCCTTCCCATCCAGCTACTTTCTAGATAACATTCATAGCAAAAGCCTAATGGACAAATGCCCTTGTGGATGTGAACAGCCCCTTAACTTTGGAAGTACACTACTGGGTAAAAAGCATATTCTATTGTGAAGCAGTACATTTGTTAAAATTAAGAAGCTATATGTCAAGTGAACAAAAGACTAGTGATTTGATATATCATTAAGTTTCACAGATTTTAGCCAGAAAATTTTAATTATATAATATTCATGCCTCTTCTTCCCACAGAGAATATATCTTATTGATTTTACATTTCAGGATTAATTCCTCTGTCTAGTTTTAAAATTAACACAATTCAACATTTTAAAATCTATTTTTTGAATATGTTTCCTCCTTCAGGTAGTCCCCATCTTTTCCATGGTTTCGTTGATGGTGTCCTCATACCTACAAACAGGGATCATTTTACAGAAGAAAATTACACTAAATCTGCAGTATTTACAGCCAGAAAGAAGAATGATGATATTTATTATCATCGTTTGATGAACAAGGAGAGGATGGATGAAAGTGAGGAAAATGTCATTGATGGGGATGAGGAAATTCCTAATGGAGAATACAAATCGGAAATAAATGTAATTGATGAAAAACAGCTCTGCAAGCAAGCAATAGCCATCGCTCTCTGCAAGTACCAAGAACATTCTGATATTAAGGACAGATCTGATGTACCAATTGTACCAGTGTTTGGTATAACAAGCGATTCCTTTGAAGTTGCTGTCCATGACCCTGTGCATGACTATCTCTTGAAATCCAACAAACCAATAAACTTATTCGAGGAAGATTCTCAAAACCTGAAATTTTCCAGTGTTGTGGACTTATGGTTATTGATTAATCACAGCATGTTTTTGACAACTCCCAGTCCACATGTTGTGCAACGATTAAGTGGGACAGCAAACTTGATCCCTCAACTGGGGGAGAAAAGATTTGAGAACATTGTAAAAAGTTCAAGATGGATGTTTTTACCATATCTTCATCACCAATCATTTCCAGAGATTCCCGAAGATGCCATTAAATATGTTGATAAAAAAGGTACTTTTTTTTTTTTTCTTAAAATGGTAATGGAATTTTAAAAATTGCAATGAATTGAGTCATTTAAAGTTTGACATAGTGTTATGTGTGAAACTATTGTAAAAGATGATAAAGGCAAAATCTGTAAAGAAAAGTGATTTTATAACTGCATAATGCTATATAAATGCTTTTCTGTACATGGTATTTAATTTTACAACTAATTGTATAAATTTAATAACTTTTTATGCATGCATATTATTCTTGCAGAAAATGCCTTAGGTGACAAACATTAAAAGAGGATATAAATAATACTGAAAAGGGTAACTAAAAATTATGGCAAAATCTTGAAAACCCTAAAAATACTGAGGCATTCTTAGGACTATCAGTTATGTTTTCCTCACAAGTTGGAGTAGAAGAGTTAAGATAAATGGTCATATGACTACCTCAGAGTTCTGTATCTCAGATTTTATTAGCCAGAACTTTTTATGCCAAAATCAGCAAGATAAAATCTTTGCAAAAGAATAACCAAAATTTGTTACAAAAAATTATCTAGATAATAATAAAAAAAAAAAGTAACTGTTAACTAGTATCATCTCTATCTCCATATCTCGTGAAAAAGATAATATGAAAATTTGGTATTCTAAAGTAAAATTTAATGAAATTGAGTTATAATATTGTTTTTTTGGTTTTTACAGATATATAACACAGACTTGTGATGTCATGCCAGGTACATGTATAATGCTGAGGAGTGTTCTGGAATTACTGACTGCTATGTCTCATGAAGTGAGTATTTAACTTTTAAAGAGATGATGTTAAAAACACTGATAGTAAATTGATCGAGCCTTAGTTATCAAGAGCCAATATTCAGGATGACTCACTCTCTGAATGAAATTTTGGGGAAGCGGCATTTCTCTTGACTTATTACTTGTTTAAAAGAAAAACAATTCCATACTCTCTACTTTTATGAATCAAGATGATTTCATTGAGAAAACAAGAATCTAGATTGTCAGAAGTGACATTGTGTCCAACTAGGTATTAGTTTATTATGGGTGTATGTAAAATTTGTGTAACAGTGTTTACATTGACATCAGGGAGTATTCATGGTTATTTAATCATTTATGCTCTACAGTTCACCGAGTTGTCCACTATTCTGTGTTACTCTACCTACAGATACATGTACTACGCAGCACTGTTAAGGCTAGAAAAAGGGGTTGGGGCCTACTTTATTCAGGAAAAGTTTACTGTGACGTCACACAAAAATATTACTTTGATGCATTCCTCATATTACCCGAAAATGAAATAATTTGCAACTTTAAACTGTGTTAGCATAATAAACAACAATAAAACTTATCAATGCATCAACAAAAGCCGCTAGTTAAATCCCATACAGCTGGTTTTAAACAAATCACTGATCTCGATGAACTTGTCAATCATGACGTCATTTTGGTAAAAATGACGTATTTCATGTGCTGTGAGAGGCAGATTTGGGAATTTTTCAACAAAGAAAAGTGCGTTTTATTATAAAACAGAATATTATTTACAGGTTTTTAATAGGCTAATAATACCAATGTATATCCTTTGTTAAGTGCAATTATTCATCAACTATCGAGAGAATGTATTTAAATAATTCTGTCGTGTTTTTATGTTCAGGTTAGGTATATTTTACATCGAGGTGCCTCATTAAATCACTCTTTCGCAAGGGCATACACTAAATAGATCTTGACCATTTTTTAAATATGAATAAAGGATATGTTCCTTAACTTGAAAAGTGCTGCTGCTTTCTTTAAATCGAGAGCATGACTTTATAAGTACACAAAATATTTGGTAAAAGTCAAACACATTTCGACATGGGCCTATTTACTTGAAATTATAACTATTAAAACGTGAATTCTATTTAAAGCAGCAGCACTTTCCAGAAAGTACAAAGTATGCAGAAACAATTTATAGCTTGAATTTTTAATTTCAACTAGGGTATGCCCTTGCGATATTGAAATTTGTTATTGACCTACATTCCGTGTACCTAATTTGCATTCATCACGTGACTGTCCATCGATGGGACCAAACTCCATACAGTACAGAGTAGGTTATACTATGCTATTTCCATAAGTATTTAAGTTATGTGATAATAGAACAGCTGAATAAAAAATAATTCAGTTTTAAAAACAATTCAAGTTTTTGCACTTCTATTTTCCGTTGATTTCACATAGTAAGCCTTAACAGTGCTGCGTAATTAATCTTTGACAGATCGCTTTGACACATTCCTGGTATCTGAGATATTGATTCCAATGTAACATTTGTTTCAAGTTGTAATACACAGTCAAACTTCGTTATCTCGAAACTTACTTTGTTTAGTAAATACATTGTTTTTACTTGTTTACAAACAATTGTTTGGATTTTTTCAGGGATGCTCCATCCTAAAGATTGGACTGTAGATTCAAGTTCTTTAAAAGATCCCAACCTACTTGTTCACACAGATTCTAAGGAAGCAGCAGAAGCAGATACATTTTCTTTGGAATGGGATACTTTAGAGATTTTCTGTACCAAAAAAAAACCCAGGATGGAATTTCAACTGTTTTTATTACAAGTATTATAATAACTGTTTTTCATTATATATATGACATTACTAATCTAATGTAATTAAATATGTGACTTGTATGAGCATTTATTTCTCAGAAGGAGCATGACTGTCACTATACAGTACAGTAAATACATGTATTTAACAGACATTTTAAAATAATGTGTTAATAAATCGCTTTTAAATAACCAGAGTCCAGAGAAGAAGTGTTTGGAGTGCTTTATTGCATGCAGTTGAATCCATCAAGGAGTAAACCCCACCCCACCCACCTCCCCTTCCCCACATTGTTTTTGTCAATGCAGAGGGCTTGGGGAATATTTTATTTCTTAGGTTGCTGATCCATCATATTGATTGAAAAACAGAAATAATTATTTTATTAGGTAAAAGCTCAATAAGCAGTCCATGTCAGTGCATACTTGTCCTTTTTTAGCTCTACTGGTCAGAGACCAGAAGAGCTTATGCGATAGTAATGCGTCCGTCCGTCTGTCTGTCCGTCTGTCTGTCTGTCTGTCTGTAAACAATTTTTCAAAATGCTACTCCTCCTAAAGTTTTGGTCTGATTTCAATATAACATGGCACACAAGTAGACTACACTAAGATACATAATTCTGTGTATCGGTTTTTGATTTCGATGAACAGTGTTGTCGTTGTTATTAAAAATAGAAATTTCTGTGAAATTCTTTCAAAATGCTACTCCTCCTACAGTTTTGGTCTGATTTCAATATAACTTGGCACACAAGTAGATTACACTAAGATACATAATTCTGTGTATCGGTTTTTGATTTCAACGAACGGTGTTGCCGTTGTTATTAAAAATAGAAATTTCTGTGAAATTCTTTCAAAATGCTACTCCTCCTACAGTTTTGGTCTGATTTCAATATAACTTGGCACACAAGTAGACTACAATAAGATACATAATTCTGTATATCGGTTTTTGATTTCCACGAACGGTGTTGCCGTTGTTACTAAAAATAGAAATTTCTGTGAAATTCTTTCAAAATGCTACTCCTCCTACAGTTTTGGTCTGATTACAATATAACTTGGAACACAAGTAGACTGCACTAAGATACATAATGCTGTGTATCGGTTTTTGATTTCAATGAATGGTGTTGCTGTTGTTACTAAAAATAGAAATTTCTGTGAAATTCTTTCAAAATGCAACTCCTCCTACAGTTTTAATCTGATTTCAATATAACTTGGCACACAAGTAGACTACACTAAAATACATAATGCTGTGTATCGGTGTTGGATTTCGATGAACGGTGTTGTCGTTGTTACTAAAAATAGAAATTTTTGTGGAAATTATTCAAAATGCTACTCCTCGTACAGTTTTGGTCTGATTTCAATATAACTTGGCACACAAGTAGACTACACTAAGATACATAATTCTGTGTATCGGTTTTTTAGCTCTACTGGTCAGAGACCAGAAGAGCTTATGCGATAGTAATGCGTCCGGCGTCCGTCCGTCCGTCCGTCCGTCCGTCCGTCTGTCGGTCTGTCTGTCTGTAAACAATTTTTCAAAATGCTACTCCTCCTACAGTTTTGATCTGATTTCAATATAACTTGGTATATAAGTAGACTACACTAAGATACATAATTCTGTGTATCGGTTTTTGATTTCGACGAACGGTGTTGACATTGTTACTAAAAATAGAAATTTTTGTGAAATTCTTTCAAAATGCTACTCCTCCTACAGTTTTGGTCTGATTTCAATATAACTTGGCACACAAGTAGACTACACTAAGATACATAATTCTATGTATCGGTTTTTGATTTCGATGAACGGTGTTGTCGTTGTTATTAAAAATAGAAATTTCTGTGAAATTCTTTCAAAATGCTACTCCTCCTACAGTTTTGGTCTGATTTCAATATAACTTGGCACACAAGTAGACTACACTAAGATACATAATTCTGTGTATCGGTTTTTGATTTCGAGTAACGGTGTTGTCGTTGTTACTAAAAATAGAAATTTTTGTGAAAATCATTCAAAATGCTACTCCTCCTACAGTTTTGGTCTGATTTCAATATAACTTGGCACACAAGTAGACTACACTAAGATACATAATTCTGTATATCGATTTTTGATTTCGACGAACGATGTTGGCATTGTTACTAAAAATAGAAATTTCTGTAAAATTCTTTCAAAATGCTACTCCTCCTACAGTTTTGGTCTGATTTCAATATAACTAAGCACACAAGTAGACTACACTAAGATACATAATTCTGTTTATCGGTTATTGATTTCGACGAACGGTGTTGGCATTGTTACTAAAAATAGAAATTTCTGTAAAATTCTTTCAAAATGCTACTCCTCCTACAGTTTTGGTCTGATTTCAATATAACTTGGCATATAAGTAGACTACACGAAGATACATAATTCTATTTATCGGTTATTGATTTCGACGAACGGTGTTGGCGTTGTTACTAAAAATAGAAATTTCTGTGAAATTCTTTCAAAATGCTACGCCTCCTACAGTTTTGGTCTGATTTCAATATAACTTGGCACACAAGTAGACTACACTAAGGTACATAATTCTTTATATCCGTTTTTGACTTCAATGAACATTATTACCTTGGTTAATAAAGATAGCAATTTCTGTTACTCTCAAAATGCTATTTCAAATACAGTTTTAGTCTGATTATAATATAATGTGGCATGCAAGTAGACTATACTAAGAACATAAAGAGACTTATTCAAGGATCATTATTCTCTTTTTTGCTAGTGTAAAGTTTCAATTCCCAACTGCTTAAGTACTTTCCTCTTCCTTTGCTATAAGTGCAAACCAGTAGAGCTTCAGTCTTGACAGAGACTTCTGGTCTTAAGTCCAGGCCAAAAAAAAAGGCAGACAAAGTGTCATTGACATACATGTACATTAAAATATTTGTTTTGCTTTCAGGTTCGTAGTATATTACGTACTTACTCTCTTGTCTATAATTAAACAGACTCAAGGTTAACAGTCAGTGGGTTTTACTGTATTAACACAGTAACTGCAGATACATGTTGGTCACGAAAAGTAGGACACAGAAATCTGATTACATGTACACAGTACAAACATGAATGCAAGAACAGTATTAAATGCACCTGTTAATGTTTCTGTTGAATGCAAAAACCAGACAAAATCACTGACACAGCATAACAATTTTATCAAAAATTGCTAAAAAATGTTATTGTAATTCTTCATCTTGTCGATATAACAAAGATTACAATTCGTCATAAACATGATCTGAAAGCTAGAAAAAAATACTTTTAACAACTCACATGAATAATTTTTTTACTCAAATTGAGATGCCACCACTTGCAATTCCTGAAGAAGGACTGCGGTTTTATTGTTTAAATCAGGAACAAGATCATGACATTAGACTTAATTCAAATTTTTAATTGTCTGTAAAATGTTTATTAATTGTTGAAAGAATTTCTAATTTTGCAGATAACAATACTTTTGATGCAGTATTGAAAATATTTTAATTTTTAGCTCACCTCAACGAAGTTGGGGGAGCTTATGTAATACCCCCGGCGTCGGCGTCCCAGGTTAAGTTTTTTGGAGCAGTTTTCTTTTTAAGTACTTCTATGTCCTATATTGATTAGACATGCATGGAGGATGCTTTAAGTGTGTTTCATTGTAACAGTCAAAGTTTCAGATGCTGCAATTTCAGCAAAGGAATGACCAGGTTAATGTTTTTGGAGCAGGTTAACATTTTTGGTGCAGTTTTTGGTGTAGGTCTCATTTCCAAGGAACTATAAGCCCTATGTTGACCAAACTTGCATGGATGATACATCTAAGGATACTGTACACTACCCGGCTTGCTTCGGATGCTGAATCTGACCTACATTTTCCGGTTGAGTGAACAGGTTAAAGTTTTTGGTGCAGGTCTCTTTCCAAGGAACTATAAGCCCTATGTTGACCAAACTTTCCAAGGAACTATAAGCCCTATGTTGACCAAACTTGCATGGATGATACATCTAAGGATGTACACTACCGGGCTTGCTTCGGATGCTGAATCTGACCTACATTTTCCGGTTGAGTGAACAGGTTAATGTTTTTGGTGCAGGTCTCATTTCTAAGTAACTATAAGCCTATATGTTGACCAAACTTGCATGGATGATACATCTAAGGATGCATACTACCAGGCTTGCTTCGGATGCTGAATCTGACCTACATTTTCCAGTTGAGTGAACAGGTTAAAGTTTTTGGTGCAGGTTTCATTTCCAAGATACTCTGAGCCCTATAATGACAAAACTTGCATGGTTGATACATCTAAGGATGAATACTACCAGGCTTACTTCAGATGCTGGATCTGACCTACATTTTCCGGATGGGTGAATAGGTTAAAGTTTTTGGTGCAGGATACATTTCCAAGTAACTGTAAGCCCTATGTTGACCAAACTTGCATGGATGATACATCTAAGGATGCACACTACCAGGCTTGCTTCGGATGCTGAATCTGACCTACATTTTCCGGTTGAGTGAACAGGTTCAAGTTTTTGATGCAGGTTTGATTTCTAAGATACTATGAGCCCTATAATGACTTAACTTGGATGGATGATACATCTTAGGATGCATACTACCAGGCTTGCTTCGGATGCTGAATCTGACTTACATTTTGTGGATGAAAAGGTTAGTTTTTGATGCAGGTTTCCTTTCCGAGTCTCCATAAGCCCTATAATGAGCAAACTTGCATAGACGATACATCTTAGGATGTACCCTAATGGACTTGCTTCGGATGCCGAATTCGACATACATTTTTTAGATAATGGACCAGGTAAAAGTTATGGGTGCAGGTCTATTACCAAAAAACTATAAGGCTTATATAACGTTGTATAAATCAAACTTGCACAAATGATGCATCAAGGGATGAAAACTCTCAAACTGGCTTCAGATGCTGGATTTTAATTACATTTTCATGAAAAAGAACTAGTTTGAAGTTTTTATATAGGTCTATTCCAAAGTATCAGATCAAAATTGCATAAATATTTTCATTTTGGGATGTACACTTTTTGTTGGTTAATTGTGTGACTTTGCCTTACTTAAAGACAACATTCGTTGAGGTGAGCTCTGTAATCTCTAATTACCTATGTTTGAGGTATCCGACCAATATTATCCCCGGATTCAATGGAATTGAATATACAAAAGATGTGTTTGGGCTGAACATTATTATATTTAGACATAATTTTTAGCTCTTCTGAGCCAAAAGCTCGAAGAGCTACACTGTAATGTTATGGCCATTTGTGCAGTATGCATAAACTTTTTAGAATATGGGCATAACTCAAGAACCCCTTGCCAATCATTTTCAAATTTGTCACAGGGTATCCTTGGCCCAAGGGCTACCATTTATACTAAAACTGGAGTTGGGACCCTTAAACAAGGGTTTCCAAAAAAAATCTTCTCCTCCAGAACCACCAGGCAGATTTTCACCAAACTTACATACAAGGATCAGGATAGGCTGAAGATTGAAATTTGCATGGGGAATTACCCTGGGGCAAAGGGCGTGATTTCAAGGTCACTTCAAAGTTGACCCAAAATTTTACTTTATAACAACATTGATATTTTGCTTACTATAAAGACTAGTATCATCAAATCTTGCAAGTTGATGCATCTTAGGACTTCACATCATGTTATTTCAAAAGTAGGTCACGGTGACCGACTTTTTCAATTTTGCGGGTATTTGTTTTCAAATTGATTTTTAGGCATATTTTGGATACTTTAAGGCCCATGATCATCAAACTTTGTCATTTGATGCGTCTTTGGTCCATGAACAACGTCAACTTAAAAATGGGTCAGCGTGACCAATTTTTTGAATTATATGACTAATCTTTTCTTAAATATTTAATCCCATTATTTCAAACACTGAAAGGTTTAGAATCATCAAATCATGTAAGTTGATGCATCTTGGCCTTAAAACATATTCATGAAAAGTAAGTCACTGTGGCCTACTTTTTGAATATTGCAGGCATTTGTTTTCAAATTGTTTAAAAGGCATATTTTGAATACTTTTAGACCTATGATCAAACTTTGTCAGTTGATGGGTCTTTGGAAAATGTTGACCAAATTGTAGGTCACGGTGACATTTTATGGCTATATTTAAGTATCTTAGGTATTTATTGGCTTAGAATCATCAAACTTTGTCAGTTGATGCATCTTGGGTTTTCGGAGGATGACGACCAAAAAGTAGGTCAAGGTGACCTACTTTTGAATATCTAAGGTACTTATTGGCTTAAAATCATCAAACTTTGTCAGTTGTTACATCTTGGGTTTTAGGAAAACGTCGACCAAAAAGTAGTTTTTTATAGCTATATTGAAATATTTTAGTATCAGTATGTAAGAGCAGAACAAAACAAAATTTATGACCTTGTGTTTTTGAAGACTTATCCCCCTCAGATTTTATTCAATAAAAATTCATTTTTAAAAAATTGGTGAAAAGTATTTTTTCTATTCCCAATATTTAATTAAATACATACTTCCGCCGCAGCATTTAATGATATTCTTAGAATTTAATTCTATTATTATCAAAAATTAACTTTTCTCCATAGACTTCAAAGCAATCTTCAAAGATTAATTACTGCTTAGGTAATAAAATTTTCTAATTTTTTTCTTGGAAAATTCTTTTCTGCTTTAAAATACTTTGAAACATTATCAGTTATATACATAACTGATATTTAAGGTAAGAAAATATACTAGTATCTGGGTCAGATACTAGATGTTTCATGATCCAGGGGCCTGAACTTTGCATAAGAAGTTTAAGAACCTTTGTTTGGACAAAACAAAGCATTAATTAGTAACCTTACTATCTCCTGTTTTCTATGGTCGTTTCCCCTCAATGATGTTTATCGGTATTAGTATATCGGTTACTATGAAAACGAACAGATAATTGACTAACTACTTTACTAGAGTTATTATAAACCATGTCCCTGCGTTATTTGTTGTAACATTTTTCTTAAACTGTATATTCCTTTAAAGATTTGCACCTTTTTTTTGCTTTACATTTGTTCCTGGGCACCATACTTAAAACAAGGGACCCATTGCTCACTTGAGCATATTGGCTAGAAAAGGGCACAAATCAGTTAGGTATTGAAAAGTAGGGCTTGAATTTTAAACTATTTGAGAACACTTCCATATCAATTACAATGGCTTAAGTGTTCTTGAACAGATATTTTCCTATATATTCATTTGTAAAAATTTCATCCCCATTGTGGCCCCTCCCTCTCCCTGGAATCATGATTTGAACAAATGTGAATCTACACAACCTCTAGCTAGTAATGCTTCCACATCAATCATCTTCACTAGCCAGGGGTATCTATGAGGAGAGCAGCGTATCAGAAACCATTGGCTAGCAAAGATGCCATATCAATATGACTAAAATATGACCTTTCCATTCTATAGAAGAGGGTTTTTCCTCTAGATTCCTATAAAAAAAACTTTGGTCGTTTAATGTGGCCCAGCTCTACACTTGATTCTAAACTACATAAGGAAACTTCCATTTGAATATGACCAATCATGGCTTTGCTGTTCTCCAAAAGAAGATTTTTAAAGATTTTTCCTATATATTCCTATGTAAAATTTTGATTTTACGTTGTCGCCCTGCCCTTTCCCCGGGGGTCATGATTTGAACAAACTTGATTCTACTCTGCTTGAGGATGCTTCAACATAAAGTTTATTTTTCCTAGCCCAGTGGTTCTTGAGAAGAAGATTTTTAAGTATTTTCTATATATTTTCTTATGTAAAACTTTGATTTTTATGTCGTGGCCCTGCCCTATCCCCTGTGGTCATGCTTTGAACAAACTTGATTCTACACTACCCGAGGATGCTTCCATATAAGTTTTATTTTTCCTGGCCCAGTGGTTCTTGAGAAGAAGATTTTTAAAGATTTTTCCTAAATATTCCTATGTAAAACTTTGATTTTACGGACTTCTTCTTTTGGAGAACAGCAAAGCCATGATTGGTTATATTCAAATGGAAGCATCCTCAAGTAGTATAGAATTAAGTTTGTACAAAACATTACCCCGGGGTAGGGTGGGATTACAATGGGCGATCAAATTAAACAAAAAAATCTTAGTGTCAGATACGGAGAGATGCACGAAATTTACATGCATATTAGGCCTCCTCAGCTCCTGACCTATTGCTTGGCGAAATTTACATTCCGGTAGAATGATCAAGAAATTAACTCAGCTAAATTTCAAAGAGTTATCGTAGAGAAAATAAATAGAAATGGAAAAAAAATTAATACTGTAAAATAGTTGAATAGTTTTTATTTTCTAAATATTGGCTTAAAAATGAAAACTAAAAAATATACGTACTCTTTTAAAGAGACTCCTTATATTATTGTTTTTCTTTTTAAATTGTGGGCTTATTTCCATAACTGAAAATTGCATTGTATCGTGTTTCCTCAATGCGAGGAATAGACAAATTTCGCGTTGCATTTCTGTCTATCTTTCCAGTTTGTGTTTTTGGAAAATCTTCGTTGTGAAAAACAATGTGTTTTGGAACATATATGTTTTCAATAAAAACAGCCTCTTCGTCAGTATCTATTTCTCTGCGAACAAATTCGCGCAAAGCATTTTCGGTTACTTTCACGCCTTCCTTCCTAATAACGGCAGCACAAGGGACGTCGTCTGCGTGCTTTACATCCTTAATAGGGAAGACGACAACATCCTTTATACCTGGGTGTTTCCTTATGATAGCTTCGATAACAGAGGGTAAAACTTTCGATCCTGAAATAAGCATGACATCAGAAACCCTTCCAAGTACTTCCAATCGACCGTCTTTTGTGATGTGGCCCAAGTCGTCCGTTTTGTACCATCCAGACGGAGTGAGTACTTTCTTGTTTCGCTCTTCGTCGTTTACATAACCTCTGAATGAAGGACACGAACGTACAGCTATTTCACCCTTCTCTCCAAGAGGTACCATTCTTTCGTCAGGTCCTATGACTTTAATTTCGATTCCTTCGGCTGGAACTTTTCCAGTTGATGTAAAAGATGAACGACTTATATTGACCGCCAATACTCCGATCTCTGTGTTTCCATAAGTGTCAGAAATAACGTCATAATATTTCCCAATTCCATCTAAACATTTGGCTGGAACAGGTTGACCTCCTGTAATTACCGAATGAAATTTCCATGGAAAAGAATCCCTTGAAATTATTTCTAGCAGAAAAGGAACAATGATAAAACCAGAGCTTGGTTTTTCTCGCTTTATGATTTTGGACAAAAAATCGATCGTGTCAGAAATTGACGGAAATGCAAGTGTACTCGATATAGTTACGCGCGTTCCTCCATATGCAAGCTCACAACATGGATAACCTCCACCCCAGTAGAAAGGTCGGTCATTAAAGTAGATGAATGGCTCTTGTTTTTCTCTTAAGTAATCTATGACCCCTGCCTTACCCAACCTTTGACCATTTTCAATAAGAAAATAGTGGCTACCTTGTATTAGCTTTGGACGTCCCGTACTACCTGATGTTGTTAGAATCACTGCAATATCGTCCGGGTCAATTTTAGGTAATTTAATGTCCTCATCGCAGAATAAGTCTGAGATTGTCAGGATTTTTTCCGATGAATTCAAGGGACTTTCCAACACTACCCATTTAAGAGAGACTATATCTGATTTTCTAACAAAGCCTGTTTCTGGATCAACTGTAGCAAGATTCTGAATTGTTTTCCAGTGGCCATCCTCATGTCCTGGGTCAAAGATCAACATTGAACACCCTCCAACATTGTTTAAGAACTCTTTTATTGTATTACCTGACTTGTCCAAGAAGGGAAAATGAATTGGACGGGCACCTGCTAGTTGTACAGCAAAAGCACTCACCAGCCATTCAGGTGTGTTGTTTCCTCCGACCCCCACAATATCGTCCCTCCCAAGACCTTTACTTACAAGTCCTTTCGCCAGTTTAACAGAATCCTTATAGAGCCTGTTGTATGTAATCGATCTCCGTATTAGGTCTTGGTTGTAAAACACGAAAGCATCTTGGTCCGGTTTCAGGGACGCCCATTTTTGTAAGAGTTTTGGTACTGTTGTGTAAGGTGCTGTGGAGGCCTGATCTGAACTAATATAACTAAGTCCATTCTCCATATTAGATAGCAAAACTTAATTTGGAATACCGAAAACTTTAAGAAATCGGCAATAGACAGTGATTTCTGAAAGAGAGATCATTTCAACGTTAATGTATATATTAACTTCATTTTTAATATTCTTATTTTGCTGAATATAAAGCGTATTACTAGCTCACAGAAAATATTATGAAGGTTGTAAAAAATAAGAGTAGCTTGTTTCTCTTAACAAGAGAGAGAGAGAGAGAGAGAGAGAGAGAGAGAAATTATGAACGGTTTTGGACTAGCGGTAGTGAAAAAAGTTCAAATGTTTTGTCCTTGACAATTATTGCAATGCAAGGAAATGTTTTAAAGCCCCTCAGGCCTCTGGATAAAATATACCGTTATCTACTTTTACTGCTGTTAGTTTCTCATATGTACTCACCTTCTGAGGTGTTATTTCCTACTGCGTCAAAACCTTGTCCCGAAAATTGATTTATAAGTTGAATAGAAAATTTAACAATAGCCCCATGTAAATGTAAGCTTGGTAAGATTCTGAGTGGAATGGAGTTGAGATATTGAGTTTCAAAATGTCCCCCTTTAATAGAAAGCAAACACCCCTTAGAATAATTCAATGTTCATTGATCATTTTATATCGATCATAATGTCTTATTATCAGTCAGTCTATATCATCAATCTATACAATAGTCCTTATATCCCAATACTTCATATCTATTGAGCAATTCACGAAGCCTTACGAATAACAAAAGGCCTTTCACGTCCATGAGAACTTCCTTTACATGCATTTCGGCAAATGCAATTATTTTTCTGCAATTTCAAAATCCAATTTATTTCTCTTAAAACATGTAAAACTGTTATGATTCTCTATCTTTTGTATCATTTCTACGGACCTATAATATTGACTTTCTTTGAAATTCATTAAAAGGGACAAACGGAAAATACGTGAAATCAATGTTTATATTTCAATTAAGTTGTATGTGAAATATATTTTGTTTTTGAGGTAGGATTTTTGAATATTATTCATACGTGGTTTTGTTTGTGGTATTTCAAATTAATTTTGTTTTAAAAGAGTCGAACTCTTCAATGCATGTTGAATATCCTCTTTTAAAGAGAGACGGTCTGTTCTTGTTTTAAAGTTCATTTCTAAATCTTAATATTAAGTAATTATAATTGTTTTAAAATATATAGTTTCTAAACTTAATAACTATTAACAGTTGTTTTAAGGTTTACATTTCTAAATCTTAATAAGTGATAATAGTTGTTTTGAAATATATTTCTAAATCTTAATAAGTAATTTCAATTGTTTAAAAATACATATTTCTAAATCATACACAATTAATTAATCCTGTCACTGAAATGGCCCTAATCACAAATTGCATCGTGATAGGATTATTAGTGTTGTACACGTTATGTACATGATTGAATCGGACTTCTGATTATTCATCTCTTCACTCAGCTCCACTCTACTCAGTAAATAAGGCCAGTCTCAATTTTACTAAACAACAGGTTCACAGAAAGTGGGACACAGACGCTCTATTACGTAATACATTAAAGCCGGGGTTGTAACATTCTGGTAAAATATAAGGGCATATACATTGTATTTTGAAACTTTATGTTTCCTACATTTAACTCAGTTGAAGTGATCCAAAAATTAGAGGTAATGTGAGCAATGAGCTCACTAAATCATATCCCCCTCCCATATGAATATAATGGCAGTGTCCATGTTTTGCAATGGGAAACCTAAAATATATGTGGGATTAAGAAAGTAAAAGAGGTGCACAACGGCATTATGTAATTAGAATTCTTTGAAAATCTCATCAAATTTCATTCAGTGGTATAAGAGGAGTTGCGGAAAAAGAAATGGGTACCCCGAAGCGTAACAGACGGACGGACTGATGAACAGACATCCTAATTACTTTAAGCCCTCCCGCTTTTTAAGCGGGGGTAAAAATATATAAAATTAAACAATAAATTCTCTCTCAAAAAAAACAAAACAAACAAAACAAAACAAGAGGCCCAGGGGCCACATCGCTCACCTGAGCAATTGGCTAAGAAAAAGCACACATCAGATCAGAACTGAAAGTTTACCAAGGGGGGGGGGCTTGAATTTTAATCCCCCGGGGGGTCATGATTTCAACAAACTTCAATCTACACTACCTGAGGATGATTCCCTATAAATATTACTAAGCATGGCTTTAAAGTACTTGAAAAGAAGATTTTAAAAGTTTTCCCTAGATATTCCTATGTAAAACTGCCATTATGGCCCCACCCTACCGCCGGGGGTCATGATTTCAACAAACTTGAATCTACACTACCTAGGGATGATTCCACAGAAGTTTCATCTTTCCTGTCTCAATGGTTCTTGAGAAGAAGATATTTCCCATATATTCCTATGTAAAACATTGATCGGCCATTTTGGCCCCACCCTACCCCCAGGGGTCATGATTTGAACAAACTTGAATCTACACTACCTGAGGATGATTCCACATGAGTTTCATCTTTCCTGGCCCAGTGGTTCTTGAGAAGAAGATTTTTAAAGATTTTTCCTATATATTCCTATGTAAAACTTTGATCGGCCATTTTGGCCCCACCCTACCCCCAGGGGTCATGATTTGAACAAACTTGAATCTACACTACCTGAGGATGATTCTATATGAGTTTCATCTTTCCTGGCCCAATGGTTCTTGAGAAGAAGATTTTAAAAGATTTTTCCTATATATTCCTATGTAAAACTTTGATCGGCCATTTTGGCCCCACCCTACCCCCAGGGGTCATTTGAACAAACTTGAATCTACACTACCTGAGGATGATTCCACATGAGTTTCATCTTTCCGGGACCAGTGGTTCTTGAGAAGAAGATTTTTAAAAAATGCCATTATTTTTTCTCTAATTCATAATTATCTCCCCTTGGAAAAGGGCGTGGCCCTTCATTTGAACAAACTTGAATCCCCTTTACCCAAAGATACTATATAGCAAGTTTGGTTGAAATTGGCCCAGTGGTTCTTGAGAAGAAGATGAAAATGTGAAAAGTTTACGACAACGACGACGACAACGACGACAACGACAACGACAACGACGACAGACAACGGACAAATTTTGATCAGAAAAGCTCACTTGAGCCTTTGGCTCAGGTGAGCTAAAAATTGACAGAGAAACTCCCAGAACTCAATCGAACCAGTAAAAAAATTTCGAGATATATAAGTGTTAAAGGTATTAAGGGTTAAATACTTTTTAAAAATATGTGATTAGCACTTCCCAATCACTTCGTCATAGCCATGGTTTTTGAGATATCCATGTTCCTGATACTGCAGTTCAACTGTATACATGTATTATGTACAGTTGACACAGATATTGCTGCCAAACTATGTATACAGTAGCTCCATCAAAACAGGAATCTTTTTTCACATCCATGCCTAGTTGCACGTGTTGAATCATTTCACATGACAAATGAGCTGATTCAAATGGTACTAAAGACCATCTGTTTGATAATTGAAACTATCAGTTATCTAACTCACATACATATAAATTAATATAATGCAGATCGATATAATAAATTAAAGCACAGATAAATACATGTATCTAGATTTTTGCTTGCAAAAACAATTTTTAGTACATATACTACTTTTCAGCACAATTATAACAGATTGTTAGTCAATCTCTGATGCAATGAGACATAAAATGACGTAACTTTATTGTATCTTTTAATAATTCCAATCTTCATTTTATCTATTGATTTCCTGTGTTTTGATTGGACGAGAACACGTTCCAGAAAATTTTTACACATCGATAAATTCTTTCAATCAGTACTACTTTCTTGATGACACTACTAGGTTATCGTATAAACAATGAAAGCAGTTATTTCTGGGTCTGTTCTGGCTAAATAATGAATACAAGAACTTTAAATTTAATTAGGGCTTAAAGTAAAACAAAATATACTAGACTGCCTAACTGATGGACGCCGTGAAAATGTTTATGTCACTGTCCGATCACGAGTGTGAATTTTAAAAACCGCTGTCTCAACGTTCATACGCAGAAAATAAGCTCAGTCTGTATCGTTTTGACAGGGAAAAGAAACGTACCTCAAGCTCTTGCCCTATTAGCATCAATTTCCTATTAACTTTCTATATTGTTCCTCAATATTTGAATAAACAAGTGCAAATTGAAGGCGTCGTCTGTCTGCAAGTTTCGCTATGAGAGTTGTTGTTTATGTCAACATGGCCATGGTCAAAGACGAACTATTCTGAAGTAAACTCGTAATTACGATATTTGTTGACTTAAACAGCATTCCATTAGTTGTTATAAGTTTATTTATCGATTGTTTTGACAATTTAAGTTGAACTCTATCGAAATTCGTCTCGATTACGTTCCTTTACGGTAAAATGTATTCCTACGCCGTCCAGATTAACGGATTGTATGGAGGCCTCAAAGAGAAATAATTTAAAATATTTTTAAAAATTCGAGATTGGAATTATAAGAATTAAACGTTCTTTTTGAAAAATTTATCGATGTGTAAACTCTTGACATTTTACTCACAAACTTAACATAAAAGTGCTTCGCACTTTTATTTAGTTTGTGAGTAAAATGTCAAGAGTTTACACATCGATAAATTTTTCAAAAAGAACGTTTAATCCTATAATACACAAATAACCAGAAGTCTCTGTCGAGACTGTAGCTCTACTAGTTTGTACTTATAACAAAGGGAGAGAAAAGCAGCAGTTGGGACTTGAAACTTTACAACAACAGTAAAGAGAATAAATAGAATAATCCTTGATTAAGTCTCTTTTTGTAGCAAGATTGCAATAAGACTACTAATGTGGGAGTAGCTTTTGATAAAATTTTACAGAATTTACAATTTTTGTTACCATGGCAACATCATTCATCAGATAAAGGAAACAAAAAAGACACTCATGAATCTCATTGCAGTCTACATGTACTTGCATACCACATTATATTATACATGTAGTCAGACTAAAACTGTATTTGGAGTAGCATTTTAAAAGTATTTCACAGAAATTTCTATATTTAGTAACCTGTTACAATGGCAGTACAGTTTATTGAAATCAAAAACTGATATATAGCGTTATGTATCTTAGTGTAGTCTACTTGTGTGCC